CCTTTCCTGGTATACAATTGATTACTCTCCCAAGATGCCATTTCTGTGGTGGTACGTTGTCTTCGTGGATGATGACCATTGTGTTTTCGTTGATGTTGAGACGATCCGAAAACCATTTTGAGCGTGCTTGAAGCTCATTAACATATTTGTGAGACCATCTTTTCCAAAATGCTTGCTTAATGCGTGTCACTTGGGTCCATCGCTGCAAGTTGTCTATATTAGTTGATATGATTTTCTCCGGAAGAGCTTGTAGGGATCTGCCAATGATGAAATGTGCACGTGTCAGTGCCTCGTAGTCGCTTGGGTCTGCTGATAATGGTGATATCGGCCGGGAATTAAATACCGCCTCTATTTCTACCGGAACTGTCGATAACTCTTCAAATGTCAGTCTAGCTCTGCCAATGCTGCGGTTGAGATGACCCTTCGCTGACTTGACTGCCGCCTCCCATATACCGATAAAATGAGGTGCTCTAGGGGATATAAAATAAAAGTTGATAAATTCATTAGCCCAGTAATTTATGATTGCATTTTTATTTTCATGTTTGAATAGAAATGCCTTTAAATCTGCAAGTTTACTACAAGCGCCGACAAAGTTTTTAGCATTGTCGCAATAAATGTCAGAGGGTAGGCCTCTTCTCCCAATCATTCTCTTTAGTGATGACAAAAATGCGTCTGTAGATAAGTCGGTTACGGTTTCGATATGCACTGCCTTTGATGCAAGGCATACGAAGATCGCGATATACGCCTTGTAAGGTGTCTTGCCACGAATCCGTAAGTAAACGTTGACTGGTCCACAGAAGTCGATGCCACAGCGCGCGAAGGGGCGTGATGGAGTAAGCCGCTCGACTGGTAAATGTCCCATGACTTGTTGTTAAAGTTTTGGTTTGTATTGTACGCAGTGTATGCATGACCTCACGATCCGCCTTGCCACGTCGCGTGCGTTTATTATCCAAAATTGCAGTCTTATCAATGCTACGAGTGCCTTAGGTCCAGCGTAGTAGTTTTTCCGATGAAGATGTCGATCTTTCTGCAAAAGATGAATTTCATTAGAAAAATGTTGTTGCTGAATATTCCAAAGTATGCATAGTAAGCCGTGATGCAGCTCCTGTGGTGAAAGTGGCTCCGTGTTGTTCGAGGTAGCAGTGTGTCTTAATTTCTTGCTGTAACGGAAAATCCAGGCAACCAATCGAAGCTTACTAACGTACGAACTGCGATGGTTGATGATTTCTAAAATGTAGTTGGTACTTACAACCGGTTTAAATGCTGATTTCCGTTTTTCACTTTCAATGACTTCCAGGTCTAGGCTATCGCACTTATTCCTCGGCAAGTTTTCCATCTCCTTGTATAAAAACTTGGGGTCATCATACCACATTGATTTGGACAGCTCATTCACGGTGCATCCTCTAGATATTATGGCCGCTGGGTTGTCTTGTGTGGGAACGTGCCTCCATTGGATTTCCGACATCCTGTTGCCGACAAAGGTTGATAATGTAGCTGAATGCACTTTTAGCCAATGTATCTGCGAGTCTGTCGAAACAAAAACATTAAAAGATTTATCAGAAAAAAATTGGTATAATATTAGCAAGTAAACGAGCGAGAAGAACAGCGCCACAAAGCTCCAATTTCGGCAGTGATTGTTTTTTCAACGGTGCAACTCTTGATTTTGCTGTGAGCAAGCGAACGAATGTTGCTCCATCTTCGCTGACAATGCCATGCAATTGGAATAACTGAGCACCTACCGAAAGGCAATACCTATGCACCTTGATTAACGAAAGGTCCGATATTTCGCTGAGAAAGCTCTTCCACGCATATTCGATGGTTTGGGGAACCGTCTCATCCCAGTTTAACTTCAGGAGCCGTAATTCCTGCAAAAGGATTTTTGATTTTATGATTACTGGAGCCAGGAGACCAAGAGGATCGAATAGCGATGATGCCGTGGAAAGAATCGACCGTTTGGTGATGCAATTAGTTGATCGCAAAGGTGGTTGAAAAGAAAAAAGGAAACAATCGATGTTTTGGTCCCATTTCATTCCAGGTGTGCTTGTGATAGATGTATCCAAATTAAGATCCTTAGCTAAACTGTCTTCTCTGAACCGTTGTTGATTAGAGTGCTATTTAGCTAATTTAAATCCACCTAAATCTAGCAATTGAGTTACCTCTTGCCTTATTTGCTCCGTATAGCTAAGTATGGAGCAGATGCCATTCCATAAGTTACCGTATTGAGTTGATATGTCGAAACCTCCTCAGTGGGTGAACTCCTCCATAAAATATATTGGTATTTCCGGTCGTCTTCGTGCATTACAACTTGCCGATACATTTTGATGATGTCGGCGGTGAGCGCATACCGATAAAGCCGAAAGCGCAAAAGCAGAATGAATAGTTCAGCTTGCAAAGTAGGTCCTACTATCTGTAAATCGTTAAGCGATTTTTGGGTTGTCGTTCGACAGGATGCATCGAATACGACCCTCAGCTTGGTTGTTGTACTTGTTGGCTTCAGAACACAGTGAGGAGGAATATAATAATGTGGTTCATTTACCTTTGGGTTTTCCACAACGCTCATGTTTCGCAAACCTTTGTATTCATCCATGAATTCGATGTAGTGCGCCTTTAGAAGAGGTAACTTCTCGAAACGACGTCCTTGTGCATGAAACCGTCTCAAAGCCGTTACGTATGAGTCGCCCAAACAACTAGGATCATCCTTCAAGGGCAATCTTACAACTATTCTGCCACAAGAGTTTCTGGAGACTGTATTGAGATATAATCGTTCGCAACTGTGCTGTTCACGAGTCCAAGGATCCGCGGCAGTAGCAACCTCCTCCAATTTCCACAATTTCTCCAACCATGCATCCAGAGATTCATTAGCTGTAAGTAAATGTTTGATATCGTCCAGACACGACCCATCCTAACAGCGTTTTTGCAGTATTGGCAAATTAGTTCCTAGTTTAATTTGACCGACAGACAGTAGGCTGAAAAACGTTTCAGTACCTAACAACAAGTCGACCTTCCCTAGCACGTGGAATTCCTCATCTGCCAATGTAGTATTACCTGGGATGTTCCATGAAGAAATGTCGATTTCTGGATCCGGTTGATAGGCAATGTGGGTTGTGATGCAGAAGGTCAATGGGAGCTTGAAACCAGTGACTACCGATTTGGTATTAGTTGTTGTTTTATACTTGATATTGGTCGACGACTTACCAATGCATTGGATTTCAATATTCTGCTTACTTCTTGACAACCTTAATTTTTGCGAAAATTCATTCCTGATGAAGTTAACCTGGGAACAGGAGACCAACAGTGCCTTACCCAATTTGTAGTTGCCAGATGAGTCACGAACCCAAACCTTTGCAGTTGCAAGAATGATGCTGTCACTGGACGAGTTTTTCATATGTGTATGTACAGTAGCCTCCGTTGTTGAAGATGAAGGACTTGTGGCTTGTTGGTTTGGTGCTGATCCACGATGAAGTAGAGTGTGGTGTTGCCTTTGACAAACCTTGCACCGATGCGATGATTGGCAATGCGTTACTTGATGCCCCTTTGAAAGGCAATTGATACACAGACCAAACTTCTTTGCATTATCAAAGCGCTGAGCGATGCTAAGTGCCTTGAAGCGCTTGCACTTCAAAGGTTTATGGCGTGAATTGGAACAAATTGGACATGGTGTGTTGGAGCAAGAAAAAGCGTATCCTCGTTGCTGGCCCTTTGACTTGCTTGATGGCGATTTGTTGGTAACAGGGTTGCTGGTGTGAGCGCTGTCAATAGACTCCTAATACTGGCAGTGTCTCTCCAATATCCTAGTGCAGTCTTCCCATGTTGGAAATGATTTGAAATCTAGTGATTCTTTCAATTTCTTGCTGGTTTGTTCATCGGACTTCTGCAAAACTAAATAGATTAGCATAGCTTGTGATATTTGCATGTCAGTACCGAGCGACAAGAGAGATCCATATTTGATGAAGCCTTATCGATAAGACTTCTAAGCTGAATACCATTTGTTTTAGTAACAACTGGTAGTTCGAACAATGATGAAATATTTTCCAAAAAAATTATTATCATAGCGAGCCTTTAGCCTATCCAATGCCTTTGGATAATTCTCATTTGTTACCTGAAATGCGTCCACTGTTTCCAACGCTTGACCTTGTAGGCAATTCCGCAGGTGATTGAATTTTTCATTGTTGGACAAGCTATACTCACGATCAATTATCTGCTATCCTCGGCATCCAACCTTTCGATGTCTGTCTGAATCGTCAGGATTTGCTTGAAATAAGATTCCAGGATACCCAGGCGGCACTTGTGTTCAGCAGGTGAAAGTGCTTTTCCACCTGATCGCAAACTACCCTCGATGATATTTTTGATTCGAGTGATGTTTTTCTTGACATTTGCACGTTGTTGCTTTAGCAAATCCAATGACATTCTGTATCAATTTGCAAGTATAGTGGTTACTTACGTTTGGGTGGACGACGGAAGGCAAACCAGTAGCGGCGGCGTAATGGTGGTGAAACAGGAGTCCAGAAGAGACCAGTGGAGACCACAATACTAGTGCTGCTGGGCAATGGTTATGGCAATTAGGTTCCAATGTTCAACGAGGATGATAAAGTCCAGCGGTGTAGTCCAATGGTGGAGTTCCGTGCTGATGACCAAGTGTCCACGAAATACCAGATGCGAATACTTACTCGAGCCCCACGTTGGGCGCCAAAATGTTGGGTCGCAGAGCGTTTTCTGCGATCGTGCAAACTAGCCAAGTGAAAACAGCTAAATCCAAATGGAGCAAAATAAATTGGCTGGGTAGGTTGGTGGTCAACAATAGTCTGATTTATTATTTCCAAATTTCACCCTTATA